AGAGGAGATGAGAGGAGCGGGAGGAAAGAATGTAAGGAAAGGAGGAAACAGTAGAGGAGGAGGAGATGAGAAGACAGGAAGAAGGAGGAAAGAAAAAGAGGAAAAGCTAATGAGAAAAGAAAATGAGACAACATGAGGGGGGAGGAAAGAAGGAGGAGTGTAGGGGAGTGGAAGGAAGGAAGGAAGGAAGTGAGAACAGGAAAGAGGAGAAAACTGGAGAGAAGAGGAGGAAATGATGTAAAGAAATGAGGAATCAAGAGAGGAAAGAGAGAACAGAAGGAACGAAAGAGATTCAGTCTCAGTCTGATAGTTTGTACCGAAGCTCTCCACTTCTGTCTCTCATTAATGAATGAAACATATAATTATATATATTTATATATTTATATAGTTATATATTATATAGTTATATATTTATATATTATATAGTTATATATTTATATAGTTATATATTTATATATTATATAGTTATATATTATATATTATATATTTATATATTTATATATTATATATTTATATATTATATAGTTATATATTTATATAGTTATATATTTATATAGTTATATATTTATATATTTATATATTATATAGTTATATATTTATATATTATATATTTATATATTTATATAGTTATATATTTATATAATATATAGTTATATATTATATAGTTATATATTTATATAGTTATATATTTATATATTTATATATTATATAGTCATATATTTATATATTATGTAGTTATATATTTATATATTTATATATTTATATATTAATATATAGTTATATATTTATATAGTTATATATTTATATATTATATATTTATAGATTATATAGTTATATATTATATAGTTATATATTTATATATGTATATATTATATAGTTATATATTTATATATGTATATATTATATAGTTATATATTATATATGTATATATCATCACTTCACCTGCACACAGAACTTTGTTTATTGCTCAAAATATTCGGCTTTACACTACGTTAGCTTAGTGTCGGTCAGCACCACCTAAAGCCTGGTGGGGGGTCGCGAGGCCTTCTGGATTTTAAGGGATGTAAGAAAATGTTAAAAATATACACAGTAGGCCGATATCTTAGCAATAAGTTCACTTCTGTGAAGAAAAGTAGTAAACAGAACAACGTCCAATAAAGCTATTAAATATGTGTGTTAACGGTGATTAAATACAGAAACAGGAAATCTGCCCAAATCCCGACTAGTACAGAGAACAATACCCAGCACTGTTCATTAATATAATCAAATATAATATAAAACTAGATTAGCAGCGTCTAACCCACTGGTTCCCAACCTTTATCCTTAATTCATTTATTAAACATATTTTATAGATATTTCATATTATAATAAAACTGCACAATGAACCCAAACACTGAACTCAGGAAGTTTGAGATTTGGATGAATTTAAGGAACTTTTTAACTACTCAGAGTGGCCACAACACAAACAGAAACTAACTGATATTGACTCACAAACTGAACTACACACTCACACACCATCAGTATGTTGCTCAAGGACACTTCAACCTGCAGCGGGAGGAGCCGGGGATCAAACCACCGACCTTCTGATTAGACGCAGTTAAAAAACACTTGATCAAATAGCTTCAGTTGTTTAGTGACTTCATTTTGTCATTTTTGTTGTAACTTAAAATCTCCAGTAAAAGCTGCTTAATGAAGAATATAACACACACACACACACACACACACACACACACACAGACACACTGTTTTTATTCATATATGTGGTTTTATAGGTCTCTCTGTGTGTGTGTGTGTGTGTGTGTGTGTGTGTGTGTGTGTGTGTGTGTGTGTGTGTGTGTGAGGTGTGTGAGCGGTGTGTGTGTGTGTGTGTGTGTGTGTGTGTTTGGAGCGAGAGAGTGGAGACAGAAGGAGGCAGAGAGGTGAAGCGAGGTACTGTGGTATTATGCTTATAGATTAGCAGGATAAAATGCGAGCAGCAGCAGAATTCTTTATGACCAGAGCAGGAAAGTGCTGACACACACACACACACACACACACACACACACACACACACCTCTCTCTCTGAGCTGTTACAGGTCTACCTGTGTGAGCAACCTGTTGCCGCTGTGTGTTGCCGCTGTGTGTTGCCGCTGTGTGTTGACGGTGTTTCTCTCCGCAGCCCAACGGTAGCTCCCAGGGAAAGGTCCACAATCCTTTCCTGCCGACGCCCATGCTGCCTCCCCCTCCGCCTCCCCCGATGGCACGTCCCGTCCCGCTGCCCGTTGACGCCAAGCCACCCTCCACCTCCTCCACTGAGGGGGGAGGCAACTCACCCACCTCGCCCAGTGAGTGCACACACACACACACCTTATATAACATTATCATTGTTATTAACAGTGTGTGTTAAACGTTCTCCTGGAGGCCGATACGCCTCTGCAACAAAGAAAAAATAGAATAATTAATGAATAATTTCTCTAATATTTACTTCAGGATCTGAAGACATGATTCATAATCTGAGTATCGTTGTGTTTGGATTATTTTAGAGGCTTTAGTGATGATTCCTGTCGTTTGGCAAAAACACACAAACTGTGTGCCAGAATGTTTAATCCTCACCGACACCAGGATGGATTTATTCTTCCTGTTTGCTTTCATCCTGAGTTCACATGTAATTAGGAAATCTTTGTCATCACTCTGATCTTCTTAATAATTCCTTAAAGTTCCTCAAAACTTTGTTAATCTGTTCCTGATTGGAGACGCACCGCTACAGGCCACTTCAGAAAGATTGTAGACTCAAACTCTAACCCGTCTCAGAAGCATAAAATACACAGCTGGTCTGTTTTTGATGGAAGCAGCGACCCACTCGCATCAAGCAGCACAGACCAGATCGCACTGGCAGGAAGTCCGACACAGAAATGGAGAATCCATCAATTTTCAAAATAAAATACACCACACAGACTCCGGACCAAATTTCATGGTACATCAACATCGTGGCACCAGACAGGAAGTCAGTCAGTCTGTCAGAGGACAAGTAAACAACGTCGGGCAGGAAGTCGCTCTGAAACGCTCTCTGTGGGATTTAAAACTATGCGGAACGTTATTAAGACCCTTCCCGGTGGAGTTTCAGGATAAGATGTAGTGCCCTCTAAACTGAGAGTGGAGCTGTTGCTGTGCAGAATCCTTTCAAATCCTCTGTTCTTTCATGGCGCACCAAGATGGAAAAAACCTAACTTAGAACGCAGAAAGCGCACAGCTACTATGGAGTATTAGGGCCATACTAAGAGGAAAAATAAATACAATTGTGGAAATTACGAGAAAAAAGTCGTAATATTACAAGAAAAAAGTCGTAATATTACGAAAATAATGTACAAAAGAAGCAATTTCTTCCAGGTCCATGTGGTTCTTTCTTTTCAAAACAGACACAGTCGTTTGCACAATGGTTTCAAAGTCCTGATACTGATAATAATTTGATGCTGATGAAAAGATTAGGTATTTCCTTATTTGTGAAACCGATACCAAAGTATAACTTCACAAGATGCTCAACATTCCTAATTTTAACGCAGTGGGAAGAGTTCTCATAAAATTACGACTTTATTCTCGTAATTTCCCCCCTAGCCCTAACTCTCCGTCGTCCACAGGACGTAACAGCATCCAAAGGTCAAGCTGAAGATCTTTTCTCGATTCACGGTGCTGGTGAAGTGTGTACATTTGCCTCCAGAAGGACTGAGTCCTGCCTCATTAAAGAGATTTTATGTGTCTGACTAAACTCTCTGTGTGTGTGTGTGTGTGTCGTACAGCCTACTCCACCCCCACTTCATCTCCAGCCCAGCGGTTCGTCAGCGTCGGACCCAGAGACCCTGGCTTTAACATCCCTCAGCAACCACAGGTAACACATTAACCCTGTATATATATATATAACGCTATATAGCCAAATGTATGTGGACACCGCTGCCGGTTGGGTCTGTTTCCTGGTTTGGGCATCTTAAAGCTCCAGCGTACAGTTATATTATATAACAGTGCTGTTGCTATGGTTACCTGGAGTTTGATATACTCCGATTGGAAACAGAACTATATTTCAGGTGTCCATCAGCCAATCAGAGAGCAGGATTCGTCCCCTCACTCAATCTTTTAAGGTTAAAAAGATTCTTGATTACTGGAAACAATGGCGGCTCTCCTGCTCACACAGGATCTGGTATTCCAGATAAACAGTAAAATGTGGAGATTTGAGGAGAGAAATAGTCAACAACAGAATCTGGATCCATATCTGATCAGCACTGTTTGACAGTTTGATCTGAGTTTGGTGCGTTGAGCTGGACGGACTCACTGAGAATGAGCTGTCAATCACAAGGTAGCCCCGCCCTAAAGCATACCCTGCTTTATGGTCTGTTTTACTCTAAATGGGACCATCAGTTACTAAATGAACATCATGCTGTATGGAAGAAGACTGAAACTAGAGACTGAGACCAGAAACTCATCAGGAAACTGTTTACTGAGCTCATAAATCAACTGAGACGTCGGCTCATTTCTCCGTAAGCCTGTATGGTATCTGTGTGTTATTGCAACCAGTGGAGCTCCCCCTGCTGGCTGTTACATAGACTGCAGGTTTAAGGCACTTCACAGACCTGGAGGCTCCGTCCGTTATAAATACTGTCTGTGGTTATAAACAAACGGGCAAAGAAAGCAGCTCTTCACGTCCGACCTGTAACTGTAATTTACTATAGAGCAGGTGGTCAGTGAACACAACGTCCACATATAACAGAATGCTATTTAGTGTGTGTGTGTGTGTGTGTGTGTGTGTGTGTGTGTGTGTGCAGGTCAGGGTCTGTTTGCCAGCTGATTTATGAAGAGTGTAACGATTGGACAGCCTTGACTTAACTCATCACACACGTACACACAGACATATACGTGTGTGTGTGTGTGTGTGTGTGTGTGTGTGTGTGTGTGTGTGTGTGTGTGTGTGGTGGCCCGCAGTGAACGAGGCTGTCGATTTATTGACTCTGTCACAGGCCGCCGCGCACACACAC